TCAAGAGACGTACTTTGCTAAGTATTTAATATATAGATTTAGTCACTCTCAATTCATTTATCTGTTTATAATAGTTGAGATTTTCCTTTTTGTTCTCTTTGATATTTTTAGTTGCTTTATAAATAATTCAAAAACGTACATGCTGTCGCGTACAATTTCCGTTATATTTGCTCGTATCTTCACGGCCAAACAGTGTCAACACTGCAACTATTTCGAACTCAGAGATACGAGTCCACCCGTAGGTACTACAGTTGAGCAAATACCTTGAGATGCCAACACACTTCGGATTTGTGATATATCTTTGCTAAAAGTAAGGAATATGTTTAGAAATTATCACAAGTGAACTAGTATTTATACATATTTTTCTTTCAGAAAACACAGTAAATTATTTCAATACATATAATCAATAATTAAATATCTGTAATTGAAAATTTAACATTAAAAAGATTGAAAAAATAGTTATGTAAGGATAGGTGTAATTCTTTATAATCTTTTACAATTTTTTAAATATTAGTTACTCAATAATAGAATATTTATTATAAAAGAACGAAAAAAGGTCATTATATCTGCCATAATTTAAAACTGCTTTGGCATGATATATCGAAAATAAATACTTACAATTAGAATAATATACTATACAGTATCGTAAATAGCTCGCGACAAAATTGATTGAAAAACATTGTGTTTACGAATCGTATTTTAAAGAGCTCATCCAAAAAACCTTATTTTTTACACATAACACAGTTTAATAGATAGATTTTGATGGATAATTTAATAATTCGTCACGTCATATTTGTAAACGCAATTCAGTAAAGGCACTTAAATGAAGATCGTCTCGAGATACGGCCAGACCTCTATTTTTCGCGGTCCAATAATCGATTCTTGGGAGAGGATAGCGTTAAGACTCGAGGGCGCGGTACTTTTAGTGGATTTTAGCTCGTTCTGCCAAGAGGAGGCGACGTCAGCGTCGCAGTGATGGTATAAAAGAGGAACAGGATGGGCGCGGCGCGGCGCGGCGGCGCGTACGTATATATATACTTATATATATTGCGCACGAGGTGGCGAATAGTGCGGGCGTGCACTCGCGCTAGTCCTAATGCCGCGTTTACGCTTCTTTTAGTGCGGAGTAATGGTATCGACGACCGTGGAGAGTAGGCACCGACTCCCGTCAGCGTAGATGAAATCCCCGATCCCGGGAGGCGATATATATATACGTATATAGGTTGCAGTTTTATCGCGCCTCCACGTGCGAATATCGTCGGGCGCGCGGCTTTGGCGACCAGCGAAATCTCCTGTAATCGTAACGACGTAAATCGTAAACGCGAGTTCCTCATCCGCTCCTCCGCGAGAGCGCATTACCGGGAATCGCCGCGCGCTTTCCCGTAGGAACCATCCGGTCGCTCGTAAACGATTCGCTCTCCGTCGCTTCCGTGATAGATTTTTCTTTTCCTCCGTGTGTATTCAGGACGAAGGTTTCGATCCGATTTCGTCGAGTTGATCTACGATTAGCGGCGCGCGAGAGTGTGCTTCCGGTACGGATTGAATTTACCAGCAACGACCGATTTCTCCGGGACGTGGGATATCGACATAAATTTATTTAATAGCTCCTTTGGGAGAGGAGGGAGGGGGAGGGAGGAGGGGGAGAGGGGAGATAAATCTTACTTCTGGCGGTGAGAAACTTTTAGGTGTATTCGGTCTTCGTAACTTTACGTTGTATCGTTCTCGACGTTGTTCTATTACCTACACCATATACGTAGTCGTTTTGCGCCGTTACATCACTATATGTTTGCCGATTTTTTTTGAATACTTCTTATAAATACGCGATACATCAGTCAATCACGTATGCGGATAAAATGTATATGCAAGCAGGATATCTCAAAGTGTTTTCGCAATCATCGCTTGTACATGCGCACGCAAATGCGCCACGTGCGACGGTGCTCCGGTGATGACACGTTAATAAAACCGGAGCGTTAATTGCTGAATTCCTCATTGATTAATAGCGCCGGAGACTTCGGTCGAGGGCAGGACCTAAGTGAGCCGACAATTTCAGAGGCGAGAGAGAAATAGCTGGTCTCTCCGCGACGCGGCGCGGCGGCGGCGCCGTGGTCTTTTACACCGCGGAAATAATCCTGAGTCATAATCGGTCCGCATTTGTTCTTATTTTATTATTTAATATTCCTCGCGCGCGATATTATCACGCGATAAAACGATGCGCCGCTTCGCCGCGCCGCCTGCGCCACCGCGAGATATTTCATTCGCGTCGGAGTTTTAATTAATACTCAAACACACACTCTTGGATATATTTTACATAAAAATGGCTCTGCGAAGAATGGCTCTCGTCTGTTATGCGGATAAATAGGCGCTGACAGGCGCGATCGATATCGGCCAACGAGCGATTTCAATTACATTTTGTTACCTCTTGTAATGAGGCGCAGTTTAATCATCGTTGAATTACACGAACGAGGGGGGAGGGGATCATCCCCTCTCACGTGTATACCTGTGTGTTTGTGTAAATTGCTGTTACCGACATTGTGATAAATGTGTACGCCACTCGCGCTGATACGATGGCACTCTTGCTATTAACGATCTTTATGGTGTCAATCAAATAACTTGGTAACTCGGCCTTATCCCCTCCTCCCTCCTCCCTCACCTCCCCCCTGCTCTCGTCATTGATTAATGGTCTGCGGCGGAGGGATCTTCAGAAAGTTTTCCGGCTTTGTGTGCGCGTGGAGGAAATATGGTGTGTATAACACGGCGCTACCGCGTATCGCTATGATCCTCTATTTATAAAACGCTTGGTAATTTAAAAATCTTTAGAAAAATAGTGCAGTCCTTTATCAGTATTAGGTAAATCTCTTCCGCGCGGCAGAAGAAAAAAAGGCGCGTCAGACAGTTCTCGTAACTTCCTAATGCCGCGGCCGCGCCATCATGGTACTTTTCTACGGAGGTACGTTCTTATATAGATGCGATTGATAATCAAGCAAGCCGCAACGTGCCCTGTATAATAATTAGCTTTAATTAACAGCGGTAATGACTTAATATAATCCTGTTAGATAGAAAGGATAGAATTCTTAGCGGGGACTCTTAATAGGACTCGGTGACTCCTACTTTTACGTGTTATCGATCGCTTTATTACACGAGAGCCTCGTGAAGATCGGTGACCCATGCGTTCGACGATGAGAGAAGAAGATATCGCCCGGTGTGAGTCACCGTTTCTCCCGCCGCCGCTCGAAGGGGGAACGAATTTGCTCGATGGCGATGGCGCGCGTTTACGTGCGACTGCATGCGCGACGGGGGTTGGAAATAAGACGCGCATTAAATCGGAGTGACAGGCGCGCGTCGTGCGCGGAGTGATGCGATCGCGGGAAGACGGATGTGAGACCATTTTCTGTAACTGGATAACGGCTATATGCTTTTTCAGCTGGAACAATCCGCATAGAGGGGCCCCTATACGATTCCTCCGACGGCGGAGCCGCGTCTTGATACGGCTTTGCGAGGAGCACATAACTGTCGTTGGGCGGCGTGATTCACGTGAAAGATTGCACGCGGCCCGATACATTCATGGGGTCGCGGAACTATAAATGTTATTGTCGCTGTTAGCTTTATTACACTTGCCTCGGAGGAAACGTTCCTTCCAAGAGCCGACGCGTTTTGTTGCCCGCGCGCAATCGTATCTCGCGAAACTGCATGCGACTATTGGAGATTAAATATTCCTCCGTGAGAGCTATACGACAGGAGGGGCGCGGGAGGAAGGGTAGAGAAATTGTGTAGTACGTTTTATAAAATGCCAATGCAAAAATGAAAACGATAACAGGGCTGCAATACCAATATTACACGCGCGGTATCGTATTTATGAGTTGCCATTGTATACGCTGCGAATCGAACGCGCTTTTCGTTTACGTCCCTCGCGAATGCATTTCTCGTCTTGCAATTCTGTAATTCTGCATTTGATAGAAGCCTCTCTCTGTATTGTTAGATAAAGGATAAAAAAGCACGGCGCGGACCTTCGTGCCTCGTTAACTTTGCAAGCGAACGAATTGGCGTGACTCGTTCGATTTGCCGTTGCGCGTTTTAACAGAAAGCGTATATTTATATACGCCTGCTCGCACCGTCCCATTTAGCTTGATCAATGAACTTTGTTCAGTTCAATAATATGGCGCGACTCGTGTATATAAGCACGCCTGACGACCGCCAAACGCAGCTGATATATATCGAACTAATGTTCGCTCCAGTTCCACGCTTTCCTGTCGTCGCGGGATGGTTGATCGTATTACTATCTCGACTGTCGCATTGATTCGATGTCATGACAAAGCGCCGACACACGACTCGGAAAAGTATTCTCCCTATACCGTGACGGACTTTCTGTTTACCGTTGCTCCCCCTCGTTTCTCCCTTGAAAAGCATCGATTTTGCACGGAAAGACGCTTGTAAGTCGAACTTACGTGTTCGTTACAAGTTTGATGATACCTATTTATTCGCTTACGATCGCCGAGTATCTCAAAAACTTTTAAGAAAGATACACAGAAAAAAGAGGAAGAAACGTCTCTCGTCCGGCGTTCCATAATTTCCCCCAAGGCATGACGTATTTTCACGTCGCGCGCAGAACTGGGTTGATAAAGTCGTAAAAAGAGTTTCTCGGGAGTTTCGAAATTAAGTCAAAGCGATAAGTTATTAGCATATTACAAAAAAAAATATGTATAGATGCCCGACATAACTCCGGATTCGATACGGTATCGATTAACTTGCAACATTAATGTTAAGACTCAGGCTTTCTCGGTAAAAACTTATAAATGTGATTTTATTATTATTCGCCAGCTATTCACGTTAGACATGGGATCAGCTGGGTGAGGAATATTTGGGAAACAATAGAATTATATTTCTATATGGGGAGACACAAGGTATGATATACTTTTCCTGGGCGATTAAGGGTGATCCTCAAAGATGATAAGGTCGGAAATGTCGGAATAGAGAATAATACTGCGAAGTCTATGGATACTTACGGTGACCGTACGGTGGCGATTCGCCGGTGATCGATGCGATACGCGGTGTGTCCTCGGAGATTTCAATGTCCGCCGATTTCCGATAAACGTCTGAAATGGAGACCGTGCAGCGCAGGTGTAAGTGTGCTTTGCGAAACATACTGTTTGTCACTCGAAACTCGATGAGCGAGCTTATAGATTGTGTGTCGTTTTCGTGAAAAGTTTCGTGATCCCGTATTTTGTATAGATCATTGTTCCTCGTGATCTGAAACAACAAGCGACATGAGTTAACGTTCAATGAATGTATCAATTATTTCAAAATATTTTTCATGATATATAGGTATATATATCATGAACATGTACATTTTGTATATATATATATATATAATGTACAGGGTGTCCTCGTATAAGTGGCCGCCCCTTTTTATCTCGTAAATTAACAGAGATAGATCTAATAAATATCAATAATATCAAAATATCAAATTATAAAAAAATATCAAATTATCTAATAATATCAAATGAAACAGCTCTGACTAAACTTTATTGTAAGCATAGTGACTCTTAAAAACATTATCTATGTTAGAGAGCGGAGAAACATGTGTAATTTTTACAATGTAAAGTGACAACTTTAATAGATGTAAGTAATGACGTTAAAAGTTGTAGCGTTTTTTTTAACGAATACAATAATGTGTGATATAATGACATTATCTTACAAATTATACAAATTATTTTGATTTAAAGTTTTACGGGCGACTATTACTTTTTCAGTTCGGCCCTGCGATGTGACTAACTTCCGACTTTCGCGTTGACAATTGAAGTGTAATGGTTTCATCTGATCATAGTATTCTTGTCAATGTCAGAGTCGGAAGTTGGCCACATCACAGGACCGAAATTGAAAAGGTAGTAATCGCCCACAAAACTTTAAACCAAAATAACTCTTATTAATTCGTAAGATAATTTCGTTATATCATACATTGTTGAATTCGTTAAAAAGAACGTTACAATTTTTATTATATTAAAATTGTCACTTTATCGTGCAAAAATTAATCATGTCTTTTCGCTCTCTAAGATACATAGAATATTTCTAAGTGATCACTGTACTTACAATAAAGTTTAGTCAGAACCGTTTAATTTGATATTATATTTATTAGGTCTATTCTCTGTTAGTTTACGAGATAAAAAAGGGTGACCACTTATACACCCTGTATATACACATAACAACAATGCCAACATTTTTCAATTTTGTTCTATATTCTTTTCAGCTTATATTTGAATCTTTTCCCTTATTGTCGTATTATATGAAAGCTTCTTGAGGCTTTCAACGCTTTTGAATAATATAATTATTTTAAAGCAAAATTTCATCTTTTATCTTCAAATGTGGCATAAATCGTGGAACAAATGCGCAACTCGAAAGCTATCTCCGTTCTTGTGCATAATTCAACCGAGTTATGATCGTCTACATGTCAAATAATTAATAGTTCGCGTTTAGTGCTTAAGGAAAGTCCTTTCATTTTATTCCATGTAACTGCGCGGGTATCGAAATATCTCCCATTTACCATCGCATGCCCCACAAAGGGAATTATTATTGCTACCTGCTAAAGATATCACGCGGCTATGTTACCCTTAATGCAGCTTTGCCTTTTATCTCACTCATTTAACGTATAGCTGCGTCTTTTGTCTTCGTGAGTGTGGGTAAGACGGAAAAAGGAGGTGCGCAATGGGAATTAGTCGGGAGTCGCTCGGCGTTATTATCGCTCCGGAGGAACAAACGTGGATGCGTATCGAGTTTAGCTACAGTAACGTGATTCTATCGTGATATATACACGCGCGCTATAAAATTTCATGGACTATAAAGTTAACATCGACACAGAGCTCTTTTCGAGAGTTGCACTTTCGACTTTTTATGTATATATTATTTTTCCAGACGTACCGCAAAGAGGGGCTCCGTTAACATTTCAAAAATATTTTCACGGTTCATCAATTTACACTAAAAGCACACGTCTGCTCATGATTCGCAACTGTTTTGTTTTTATGCAGGGATTAAAAATAACACATTTTGATTGTCTGCATATGCGAAAAATCCGAATTCGAAATGTTCAAATTTGATATTTAAAAATTTAATATTAATTCAATTTAATATATTTGATAAAACACAACAGAGAATCGTACAAAGCAGAGATACGCACGGTAGATGATTAATGGACGAATTATCTTTCGTAATTAGCTAAAATAATTAGGAATTGTAAAAGTCTTACAAGACTTTAAGAACGTCAATATCAATAAAAAGAAAGTCAGTATCAATTTCGTTGTTTTCGAACTAATATACGTCAATGTCAGCCGCTCCGTAGAAATATAAACGTGTTGTGTGATATGTAATAAATACACATGAAGGGACCTTATTTTATGTACAACCGAGGGACTACTTTCAAGAAGAATATATGGCCGAGAAGAAACGAATTTGTCTTCGATCGTTCGCTACGTTACGGGAGAACAAGAACACCCTGAGAACTCCGAAGGCGACGTTATCATTTGTAGAACAAACAAGGACATACATCATGTCCGCGGGCGTACGGTGTCACGTGCGGATACAGGCTACATCCATAAAGCATAAAGCATAAAGCTGATGCCATCACAGATGCCATCTTCTCTCACACCTCCTTTTTTACCCTTCTGTATATATGTGTCACCGAGGAGAGATGTGCCGGTGAAATTCTTGCGTAGCTCCGTAGATCTAAAGTGCATTATACGTGCAATCTTCATATCTCCGAAAGCGGGTTTTGACGACGTTTTCATCATGCATAGGTGTGTCCTCGAAGTGAGGGATTGATTGACACATTGTTTAGCGCTATAGAGTTTCGGGGCTCGCTTTCGCCTCCCTCATTGTCCTTGTGAACGTAATATTCTCTGCTTGCCGTGCGTACATTTTCCACATAGCATATACATTCCTGATGCACTGTAGATCTTGCGTTCCACAATAAAGTTACTATATTTGTCTCTATGTCTGGAAGCGTATGCGGATGGAATCTAATATTGCGTGTCGTATAACTAAATTTCTAACGCGATTGTATCCATGATTTCGAGAATACATACAAAACATATAATTTATTGTACAGATTATCGTAATTTACGCGATATGAAAGAGGTTGTTGAAAATTAAGAACTATTTATTAATTTGTCCAAAATTTGCAAAACTTTATAACTTTATTCTACATGTGAAAAGTATTGCAAAACTAATTTAAATTATTTCTTCTCTATTTCATTTTTTGCAGTAATAAGAGTATTTCTTATTATTATTTAACATTGTAGATTTTTTAATATATATATATATATATATATATATACACATAATGTATACATATTTACTGGATAATTTATTATGCAACAGTTTTACGAATATTTCCAACCGGTCAGGCAGGAGAACTTTCGAAATGGAAATCAAGCGCATAGAAAACGCAGTAAAAGTCCGAAAATTGCATTCGGGTCTCGAATTTACGAGAATGCACGTGCTGTGTGACTAGGGATTATTTGCCCGAAATATTGGTGGATGTTTCATATGCCGGGGCAAAGCTTTCCGGTAGAGCGCGGGAAGCAAGGCGGAAATATTGGCGGCGAGAAAATATGAGCGAAAACTTGATTTGAGATAGGTGGAACCGAGGTAGAGTTTTCTTGGCAGCGGATCAAGCGCATACTTATATACCTACCTACGCGGACAAATGTATGTGCTAGTTATATACGTACTCGAGAAAGAGAGAGAGAGAGAGAGAGAGAGAGAGAGAGAGAGAGAGGGATAAAAGAGGATAAGAGAGGAGGCTAAGCAGGTGATCAATCGATGAAAACGATTTTCTAACTCACTGACCGATCTCTACGTTACACGGAATCGTTGCTTGATAAGAGTTTTCTACGTTTTCTAAATGGACAAGTCTCAAACGAAATTCCCGGGAAAAGGAAGATCTCCACCGAAGGAAGACCTTGGTTCTCTAATTTCTCTTCTCTTATCGGACGTAAGATTCGTTTAATTATCTCCGTCTGACACGGTCTGACGTCTCACATGATTGTTCTCGAATTAGCACTGCGCTTCACGATATTTTTTGACCATTAACCCCTAATTGTCTTTTGAAACTATCGTGTTCACATTCATTGATATTTTTGTAGAAAAAATTGCACAATATGGATTTTATTATTATTATTTATTATTGGCTAATATTTTCTTAACAGGAAAAAGTTAGATTGAACCATAACTAATGTGTGGCAAATCAGATTTAATAACATAATCAAATAGAAATTATGGCTTGGAAATTATCTTGTTAATATACATTAATGTGTAATATTAATGTATTATTGATTACATTAACGCGATTACGTACACGCGCGGGCAAAATATTGCGGGGAGGCGTTTAAATATTGCTGAATAATTGAGGACAATTGAATTGCGGATGAATCAAACGAAAAGCATGGCCGCGCGACAGGGGAAAAGTGCCCCGTTAGGACAACTACGAAGGAAGTTGTCAACAATAGCGGTGCTTAGAAGCAAGGAAAGTAAGCGCGGCGTGACACACGTCATGGGTGACGGGAGGGCGAAAACCGAAAATAGAGAGGGGCGAAACGACGACCCTTGTGCACTTTCGGCCGGGGGATGCTTTCACCAGGGGTGGGACCATTGTTCCGCTCGCCGCCGGAAATGCGAATTTTCACTTACGCTCGTCCAAACGCGGTCGTTGCTTACTCCGCGTCGTTTTATTCTGAAAGCCAAGTGATTCAATTTCACGCGCTCTTTCAAGCGTCTATTTAAAATTGCTCGTACGTTATTACAAGCTGAGAATTCCTTCAATTTCACCCGGTTCAACATCTCGATAATATTTCATTTCTTACGTCATAATGTATAATATTTTTGTTATAACTTTTGTTCACAATTTTAATTAAATTTCTGGTACAGATTAGTACAATCTTTGCTCTATTGCGTTAAAACCACATAAAAACATTTCTCTCTACATCATTCTCTCTTTTTGTTATTATTACGTTCTCGCAGTAAAAGAGCAAGTTAATGAGCAAACCAAATGCAAATTTAGGAAAAATAAAAAAAAATAACATTACTCGTAAAATAATTATTGTTTATGTAACAACAATGTAATACTTTTATGATGTGATTTTATGCAAATATAATCATTTTGCATTGATTTCAACATAAAATATTACGCTTTATAACAAGTAAAGTTATTAAATAGCATAATTTATTACAAAATCAAAATTTTATCCTTATAAATTAAACATAAATAATTATATATGTAGAAGCATGTAAATAGATTACTCCACGAAATATCATGTGCATATACTGTGAGGAATATGCTATAAGAAATAAAGTGTTATCAATTAAAAATGGAGCATTTTATTATTGATATATGTGTGATTGGATCATTCAGTTATTGACGAATCATATTAATTCCTTACAATACACTCGCAATATTTTTACCTATCGCAACGATACGAAACGTTCTTTCTGGCGAGGCCGTTGAAATCGCAATCCGAGGCGATAGAAATCAAATCCAGCAAGATTCGTTCGGATACATTCGCACATGGTTGAAGGGTACGGATGCCTGGTATGCAAATAAATTGTTATTTCGCGGCTTTCGTTAAATCAACTAAATTATTCCGTTAAATCGCTGCGCCGCCGTTTCGCCGCGCTGACGTTTTCCCAGTTTCACCGGCCGAAAGTGAGTTACGCCGTTTCAATCGTCAGAATGAAAAGTGTCAAAGGACGGCATAAATCTGCTCGTTCAAAAACAAAGCGCCGGGCCTCTGAAAACGAATATTCAGTGGAAAATATCGCGCCTCTCGTGCCCTGGTTATTTAAACCAATGGTATTTTCTGCGAAAGCAATGGATCCGCTCGTCAAGATAAAGGCCTACGATATTGGGTTTTTTTTTTTTACATTTCATCCCCAATGCAGTATATATATAAAATATATAATATATACATATATATATGCATATAATATTATTGCATATAGAATACAAATGTCGAGACTGTTTTCTTAAATGTTGGTTTTTTTCTCGTCAATTGTGCCAATGCGGTTAAAGCTAAATTAAATCATAAAGCAGCAAGGTCGATAAAATACTACGAATGAAAATACGCAACTTGTTAACGTAATTAATGCCGGTCTCAGAGAAAACGAGATATCATCTAAAAAGAGAGAGAGAGAGAGAGAGAGAGAGAGAGAGAGAGAGAGAGCGAGAGGGGAGAGGAGAAAGGAAGGAAGACAGGTACACTCAAAACATTTAATTGGAGCGTTAAAGATGAAACTTTGTCGATCGATAGGGCACTCGACGATTGCAGAAATACGGATGAGCAACTATACACTTAATCCTCTCACCGCCTGTCTTTCACTCCTCTCTCTCTCGCCTCCTTTTTGTTTTTTCTTTTCCTCTGGTATACGATCGCAACTCGTCTGACGTTGCACTCAACAGGAGAGCTCTACAGATTACTAGCGTACGAAGCTTTTCCACTTGAAGGTTCGAGATTTATCTATTTTATGAAACGAAAGGCCCGGCACGTCTTTATAGTTAATCACGCGATCATATAACACGCACGTATCTCGTTTGCGTTACTCCAAAAGTAGTCATGCAGTAACATCAATAAGCTGTTATAATAGTACAACAGTAATCTGTTATAGTAGGTTACTGTACTGTATTAAACACATCGATATGCGTATTATGGACTTTATTTTAATTAATATATTTTCATATATATGTTTTGTGTTACAATAAATAGATCATACGCAGATTCTTGAATATCCGCGAGAGAATTCCGTATCAAATGAAAATTCTCGCAAATGGATGTTTTTTACGTGAAAATATATGAATAACGAATAGCGATAAAGCGAGCTTCCCGATCTCATGTCTATGGCGATAATTTGATCAATGATGAATGCGTGTTTTGTTATGAGGGTGATTCAATCAAACGTATTTTGCGTGAGAAATTATGCGTGGAACTTTTTGTACGGGCATCGCGAAAAATATATCGGGAACGTCACGGTAAAAAAAAAATGCATGTGACAAGTTAAACACCGTTGTACGTGAGGTACAAAAGGTATTTACATATGTATGTAAAAACATATTCGAAATATCAGAACATTCAAATGATAATTCACTCACATGGTCGTTATAAAAGGACGGCGAAAATCAGAAAATCGTGTTGCAACGCGAAATTATAATTTTTGTAAATTAATTTTTTATACTTTACAGCGTATACTGTTGCACAGAAAGAAAAAAATCTTTATTGAAAATATGTAATTTTAGTGCACAGTTATATCGCAAAATATATTTAACTTCGCTTCTTGTTTTACAATATAAATTAATTATGATAGAACTTATTATAATGTAGAATTTGTACATGAGTCCTTTTTTTTAAGTAAATAAATCCATTTTTGTATTGGATTTACAAATAAAAAAATAAGAAGCAAAAATAAAAATCTGTACAAGGAACAAGTTAACTCATTTTTTTTTCAAAATTTGAATTATACTTTCAAGAAAACGGCTCATGCGTAGTCATCAATAAAAGATATCACGTTTGTGCTAATCAAAAAATAATGCACTGACAGAACGATTGGTCATGTCTCACGTCATCTTAATTAACGTCGATGCAGATTAATAACACAGAAACAAAATTCCATCCACGGATTTAGTTTATTGACAAACCTGTCGGCCATGTGAACGTGCACAGAATGTTCCAAAGTGACAGCAACTATAGTTCATCCTTTATTAAACTTCGATATTAAATTATGTCGGTAAACTGGATATCAAAGTTTATATGAAATACGAATAACATATTTCGATGGCTTTTTTCAAATGAAAAACATGCCGAAACTCTGAAATTCTATTTCTCTCCATTATATTTTGGGACAAAATTTGTCTCGCTTACCATTTGTGTTTCATGCCAAGATACATATTTTTTACGTGGAGCTACCTCTATACTATAATTATAAATACTATTGAATTTTGCAATTTCTTGACTATATTTTTATCAAAAATTCTCTATGTAATATTTTTCCTTCTTTATTAACTGAATTATTTTTCCCTACAAGATAATTAATAAATTTTCATACGAAAATTGTGTGCTAGCGAATTCGTTGGATGCGCTACGGTGTGCCGTGTCGAATCACATCGATTCTTTTGTGTAAATCCCGCGACGCCGATATCAGGGAGAGAAGCCCCGAGTGAGCGATAGGAACGCGGCGGGATTGACGTAATAGAACGGGGCGAAACAGGAATGGAATAGGCGCAAGTCTTCGGGTCTTCCGCCCGCGTTGCAGCTCTAATCATCCAGTAAGGTCACGTAGGTACGACTACGTATAACGTCGAGAGACGTATATAGGATAAGAGGGAGCAGCGAGGGTGGCGAGGCGATACTTACGACTTCACCGTTGAGCTTCCACGTAACGTCGGGGGCGGGGCGGGATTTGCCTGAGGTGCAGTTCGCCCGTAGCGTCTCGCCCACTGCTATGCGCTCCTTCTCGGTACGAATCGTAGGATCCGTTTTTGGGGCGTCTAAGGCATAATAATTATGTCGTTTAGCACATGCGACTGCTGCCACGGCACTAACTCGACACCTGGCGACACGCCAACGGCGCCGGGGGCGTCACAGAGCGTACCGGAAACACTTGAACAACGACCCCCGTCATGCTTGGTACTGACGACTAGGGCTAGTGTTTCCAACGTGTCCCTCGGCACCGCTGCCGCGCATTTTGTTTAATAATTTGTAATCTACGTCACGGTCGTGATATCGCTGTTTGTGACTATTTGATACACGAGATTTTCCCTCGCCCAAGGACAGCTGGGTATATTATATAATTAACGAATAATAATATTATACATATATATTTTCCTTCAGAAATTATAATTCCTATAAGGAAATCACGATAAGGCATCGTGATAATTAAAAGATACTATTAAAATAAAAAATTATGTCGCGTATAATAATTTGATTGCGTGACACGATCAACCGTCTAATGCACAATTTGGGAACCAAAATTGTTCTACACCCTACTACAATTTTCTTATTGCACATACAACTTTGGAGAACTTGTTGAATTTTATTTTTTAGTTTATACTTATTTGTACTTGTTATATTTATTGTTTTTTTATCTACTTTATCTACTTTATTTTCACCTTTTTTTATTTATACTTTATATGTATCCAATCACGTTGCACATAAAGCTCCAAAAAGTGTAGTAAACTAACATACATCTGTTATATTTCAAATAAAATAAAAATTCGGTTGTGTGTATCAAAGGGGGTTATAGAAGAATATCGGGAAATAAACGTAGATTCAGTTTGTCTATTGGAAATGGACGGTATATCTTGTTGGAGCGTTATGGGGCACATCGATTTTGCTTAAATCCGGTATTACAGCCGATCATTGATCCCCATATTGTGCTTACGAAATGTATATAGGTACACCGCTTCGAAATCGAGTGCCGAGATGAACGAAGAAACGGCGCGCGTGTATTTCGGGCGATCCCGCGGAACGAGCGATTTATCTTCGGCTAAGGCGAAATGTTAAAAGAAGAAATTTTCAACAGCCGACACGCGCGCACGTACTTACCAACTACTTCCATCCTGGCCTTTTCGATCATGGTGTGATAGGAAGGGCTGCTCGCGGACACCTCGCACTTGTACGTCCCGGTAAGCTCCCTGGACACGTCCACCAATGTTACGTCGTGCGAGTTCGATTTGGAGACCTGTAAAACGCGAAGCCCTTGATGTACCGTGCTCCACCTTATGCTCCCGTTCCACCCTCTCCATTTTGCGATCCACCGCTCTCACGATCCGTTCCTTCCTTCCACGGCCGGGTTTTTTACTACGGTACGCCGTTGCGGAAAGTTTCGTCATTTTTCACGACAGAGGTTCGCGTCAATAGTTTAGGGTCGCTCCCTGCCCAATCCCTCGATCTTCCAAACCTCTCTCTCTCTCTCTTTCTCATCACGAACCCGGGAATATTCTCATGCAGATAATTTGCCGACACGAAATTATTTTCGCGTGATTCTTTATAAGAATTCGTACACGGAACTTTAGCGCGAACGTCTACATTTAACATTTCCCAATGTTGCGCCAATTAAACTTCATGCTCGGCGATCCCAGAGTTGGGAGAAAGTTTGCCGAAAAGCACGGTGAATGAGACGCAAGGAATATTCATTACGAATGGTTCACCGCCTCCAGTCAGTTAACGTTCTTTTACGCTGTCTTACCGATAAGGATATCGCGATTGCAAAATAGCGAGACGACGGAAAAGTAAATTTTCATTGGAATTGGTTATCAGTCGTGCTTGCACTTAGTTATCCCCGTCGCGTCCACCGGTCTGGATAGGGGCGGGGTGGGAAGGACGATAATAAGTATCGATCGTGCATTCGGGTAACTTCGCTTAAAAGCGCGGATCCCAGTGAAACTGTCACTGAAGAGTAACGTCGTTCGCCAAGATTCCTTTCAAAACGACGTTCTTCGGAATGCTTTTAAAGGCATTTGAAGGGCGAGAGGGGAAGAGAAGAGGAGAAAGCGGAGAGGCGGGGAAGGGGGAGGGGGGGGGGAGACTTTACAGTGCTATACATATAGATTACTGCACGGAAAAGAATTTTTTATTGAAGCATCTTTGGAGGAAGCATCACGTTTTAGTTGTATATCTCTTATCCGGAAAGAACAAAAGACGAAAGTTTCTTGTCTTGCAGTATCGATCACGGTGACATATCATTGATTCGAAACACGTGTGCGGCGTGTAACGTCAAAAATAAGTCGAGGCAGCGTGCTTCGACTTCATACGCTACCCTTCGAAATGTGCCCGAGAAAACGCGCATATCTATCATACGAGAACTTCGAAACTAGCGAAACTAGCGTGGGGCAACGTGAAATTTCGTCTGAAAGCGCTGAAATTCCATATTAAAAAGTTAGCATAGAAATGAAGGGAAGTTTTGGATATGAAAGTAAAATTGAAGTAAAGCGCAACTTCATTGCAAAAACGTAAAAGTGACGTTCTAACAGATGTAGCGGAAACATACGTTGTGACAAACTACAATTCTAATTCGACCATTTGGACTATCGAATCCAGATTTTGCGTGTCTTGTTACAAGGAAATGACGTCCTCCGAAAAAATTTCAAATTCAGAATTAATCTAGCGGCCATTTCTCTTTTTCACTCGATGTCCGCGCGTCAAATCGTTCCGGTATTAAGCATCGCTGATATTGCTCTGCATTTTGTAGCCCGACTGATCGATTTTACATCCGGACCCTTTCCACGTTCAAATCTGGATCCTACGATCCGCCCGCGCGCGCGCGCGCACACTGCACACACCGTTTCTTTTTGCGACACCGCTCTCTTCCTCTTCGCAGGCATTTATATTCATCGCGCGGCGAGCGTCTCCGCCTCCTTTACAAACTATATCGGATGAGGGGACAGGTCTTTTTTATCGTTTCTTCCGCTTTTGGCATCGGCGTGGACGAGATGCTCGATGAAAAATATCATTTGAAAAGGGTTGTGCGCTGCGCGCGTGTATTCGGATCTACCAGGGCGGAAACTGCGGGAGCCACGCGTTACCCGATCCTTTTATGAAAGGTGTTGAACATGCACGTCCCATTTTTCAGTCTGCGTCCTACATTCTTGATTAAATGAAGTCACACGAGCGAATACATGCACGCGCGTTATACAACACACGCTGTACCGATTTAAATATGAATGGCGGCATAAAAATTTCGATTTGTTCGCATTGCATTGATTTTACTTTCAAATATCAAATACAATTTTAAAATGAATAAAAACGTCTTAATTTATTCGTTATACATATTTTAAATAATCAGCAATGAATAAAATTTTCTCGTCAATGCGCATCGTTTATCGTTCGGAGAGCGAACATTTCTAATGCCACGACAAACATGCTTTCTGCGAACATTTATTTTCGCAAATGTCGCTCGTATACTCAAGTAGAATTAGATTCGACTGTGTACGTTTGATACGCATTTTTTTTCTTTAAAAGCTCACGGCGCAGCATATTCGAGATTTTATTCTTTGTATTTGTTAAAACGCTATACGAGGGGTACAAGCGAGCCATTCTCTCTCGATTCATCGATTACATCGCAGTAACAATAGCTCAATACCGTTACATGGTATTACGGACCATGACTCATGTGGAACAAATATCGCCTATTCTTATATCGACTGAAAATACTTCGGTTCGAGATATACGAGCCAATCGGGATAGACGATAGAAACTTAATCGAATAGTGAAAAATTATTATCCTAAATCTTCACGGGCGCGCACGAGAGAGAGAGAGAGAGAGGGAGGGGGAGAGAGAGAGAAGAAGAGAGAGAGAGAGAGAGAGAGAGAGAGAGAGAGAGAGAGAGAGAGAGAGAGAAGCGATCGCATCTCACGTACTACGAACGTCCGTGCAAAGCCATTTCTCCTTCCGAGTTTTAGCTCGGCGATAACGCTCGGTGATAATCGGGCAAGTGGGGTATTGTTAAGTTGTAAAAAGACGAGATTATCGGTATGGCTCGCTGCGCGGTCGCGCGCGGTAAGGCGATAGCGATCTCATTGTGACTGCCGCGACATTGGAAGCGAATGATCGCATTAGACGCCTTTCGAGTCCACCGTCCGGCTATTTGTCGGGCGCGGGCGTTGTAAATTCTTCCGTGTAAAGATTACGCCCGGCGGGCCCGTACCTGCAGCGCGCCCGGTTCTATCTACCGACTTAGGATGCTTTATACGCTCATGAAAATTCCCAGCCTGGCTTCCTATCTGTCTCAGTTCGCGAGCAGCCGAGCTTAAATCCTGCGCGACTTGCTTTACTCTTACTCCCTATGTACGTCCCGTCCCGTAATTCACCGTGCAGTCATTTTCAACGAATTAATATTCACTCGTTAAATTGTTCCAGAAGTTATGCATCACGCGCTGCAGGGAATTGCGAGACAGTTTAATGCCTCCGGCCGTCCCGCGTTCGGGTCTTCCCGAAATAAACTATTGGCGTAATAGGGATTAGGGCGCGAAAATTTTCGTGTTCCCGCAGAGCGTCGCTTTCGCGGGCGCGAATCGCGCGCGAGAGACGCGCAAAGTGAAAATCTTGTAAAATAACTCCGAATCCATGCGGAGTTTCACAGACAATTGGAAAAATTGAATCCTCACTGTCGCACTCTACGAAGGAAGAAATCGAGAAGATCGCCTTTCTTCAGATGAAAGTTCCTGTATTTCCTGTAACGTCAGCGTCACTCTCTCCTCGTCACAGTTTTCTCCCGATAAGTTTCTCTTCCCGTATCATTTTCTTCCTTTCATCACGCCCCTCCCCCCTTTTCCCTCGTCACCCCTCGCTTGTCTCACGCCTAGAAATATTCACAACTCCAGAAGTCACCTGACACTTTTCAAGCGAATTCCACCTCGCTTTTCCACCTCGCTTTTCTTCTTGCCCGCTCCCTTGATCGAGCTCCTCTCTCCACCCCATCATGTCTTCCCCTGTTTTTCTCACCCTCAATAATTCATTTATATTCTCATGCATTATGCTCCTCGCTCTCAGCAGTGTTTTACCGATTGTCCGGTCGTGTTTCTCCCCCCCGCCGCGCCGGTTCCCTTTATTTTTCATTCTGGCTGAGCGTCATCTGTTATATCTTTTTTTTTCAGTCATATCTCTTCTCCGCGTTACGCTTTTCCTCCCTCCTAAAGTTTTGCTCCACTTTCGCGGTCTGTACGCGGCCGCCTCTTTTCCGTAATTATCAGTAAAGCACGTCGCCGATCTCACGGGAGTATTTTCCTGCAGGACTTCGGTGTGCTTCCTTTGAGTCGTCGGACAAAGGGCAACAGGATAGGAAGCAAAAAGGAAGCCGGCGCTGTACGCTATTAAATGTACACGCTACCAAACGATATACGTCTTCCTTGCGCGTGCGGTGTTTCACCTAAGATATTTATTAGCAAAATCGTCTCAAATTGTGAAATTTGTGAGAAGAGAGTGTAGATACCAGCGAATGATTAATCGAAATTGTTTGGTTTTTTTTCTCAAATAGAAAATTAGTCATTCTGTCATGTATTTATCACTCGAATATTGATTAAGACTGAACTTTTTGAACTTTTGGAAATTAACGTTATGCGAAAAATATATTTAAAATTAAAGCTGTACAGGAAAAAAAAATTTTAATGATATCGATGAACTATTAGTAAAATAATAAACGGTATCAGTAAATCTAAATAAATTCGTCAAACTGTTCGTCAAACATTAGGATTCTTAATCGCTACACATAGACTAGATTTAAGCCATCCCGTATTTTTTTAAATTAAATTAATGTGAAATGTAAACGCATTGCAGAAGGAAAAAAATGGCAGGAACTCTCCGCGTTTTCCCATATATACCCAATAAGCGCAACCATGCATTTAGAATTAATCTCTAACATTTTTCTTTGACTCGCGCGCGCGCTCATGCCCGTTCGGGAGGACGTTATATACAAACCTACAGGATATTGCTTTCGCGCCGAGTGCTCTCTCTTGCGGAAAGGGGGATTCCATTTTCTCGAGCGTCGGAAAATTTAAGGAGAGTCGCACCTTAAGAGGGCGCGAGAAAAAGGGACGCGCGTCGGGCGGGAGGGAGAGGAACGTGGCTGCAGAAGGGGCCAGATTCGCGACGCGATTGCGGCGACGCGACGTTGAATCGACGCCCGTAAAACACGGAACTCGCTTGATCCAGGTTCAAGCCGTGTCGCGGTCGTAGTACATGCCATAAATCAGTCTATCGATTCTTTTCCTCACCCGGCACCCGCGGGAGAAACTTTTGCCTTCGTCGTGGCCGTATCCGTGGCGGAAAAATGGAGGCACCCCCGATGCATGGGAGATTAGAAAGAACGGTTGGGGGGGAGGGGGAGAGGGCGAGAGATCGGTTGTCCAGGGAGCCGGCAAGAAGTTTCGCCCTTCGGCGAGAGCGCGCGCGGCCAGATCTTCACTCTTATCGAATCTACTTGCAGGCTGTGTTTTCCGTAGAAAAATAGATTACGGTCGGATCGGCGCGCGAGTCGCAAAAAGACAGCTCGTCGTTTACTCGCGAGCGCAAAAATCGGGCCCCGGCTTTGGTTCTTATCTCGACGAACTCTCTTCGAAAGAGAGAGCTCGCTTGATAAATGGATCTAACGGCGGCATCGATATGCGCATCCTCCCTCCGAGGAATACAATTTATGATACAATGTTGGTACAACCGATGCAGCACCGTTGCGATTTAAAGCACGGCGATTTGAGACATTATAACCGATCGAATTTTAAGTTTCTTCGTGTTATCTTTAAGCCGCGCGTATTGTTTTTTTTCTTTTTACTGAAACTTGAATGCCGATGATTAAATTCTACGGTATAATATAAAATTGTTAACTGCGAAACTTGAAACTTATTTATTCTAGCGCCGCGTAGAATCTTTTTTCGCGGATTTAAGACTGATTTATCGGATAAGCTCCATCCATAACGAGCACTACGGGTATTACCGAGATTAGTATAATAAACTTTTACGAAAGCGTTATTAAAGAGATAAGATTTTTATATTGCAAGTTAATTGAGAAGTTGGATGTAATAAAGATAAACCTAGTCCGGGTGACTTGGTTATTACTTAAAAAGAGGCACACTGGTTATACTCAATATGAAATATGCAGGATGCCTCAGAATTATCGCTGCTTCTGTTACTTACCAATTACCTACTTACTAATTATATTACAATTTGGACTTCAATTTGTTCGTATTTAGATTGTATGTCAACTTTATTCAAATTAAAATTTTTTTTACATTAGATATTTTAATAATCAGGTTTAAAGTTTTATTAAAGTGTAAGTCTAATTAAAGATTGGCTAAAGAGAAATGATTAATAAAAATATTTAATACTGCTTTATTACATGTAAAGATGTAAAGAGAGAATTATAAAGAGCATCGTGACTTTCTTATATATTACGGAAACATAAGAAATATAGAAGACGTATGTTATAAAATTAATTAATTCTTAAATTTTTAATTAAATAAATGATTGCAGAAAGAATGTGAGAACCAAGAATTACTGCTCCTTAAAAAAAAAAGATAAAAGAAATTTCTAATACATAAACCTTATTCATACTTAAATTCGTACTTCAATAATTGAAACTTTTGATAAATCTTGTACTTTTTTATTCAACCATAAATCAGTTCCGATAAATTTTTCACATTGCGAATAAAAACTTTGCGATGTGATTTTAATTATGTTCTATCGATCAGCGATTGCAAATCTATTTTGCTATTGGTCGACTTTCCATAAGAGATGGGAATTTTAACATATTTGTACTTATATTTACGAGTAAATTACTCACGTTTACTTGTATACCAGACACGTTGAAAATGCTGTACGGCAGTAGGGGTGGTTTGCGGTCGGGTATAAAGCGATAAAATTCGTGATCATTGAAAAACCATTGTATGGTGTACAAAGCTAAACCCTCCAGGTCGTAATGGCATGACAATGTTACGGTATCGCTTGATCTCACCATGGGCGGTACGTTTATCGTCAGATCTTTCAAACCTGTTGCACCTGTAAACAATAAAAAAACATCTCGCTGTGAAAGACGTTCGATCGATGCGCGTGTATAGTAGCGCGTTGTCTCGTTTGCGTTGTGCGAAGAATATTTATTGGCATTGAATCAACGCACAACAATCGCGATTAGAATTCGCAAAGTGCGCGCAGTTATAGTTCATGCATTATTCCAGTAATGCATTTACGTACGGGCGACCAATCGTCGCGACGCGTTTGATTGATGCACGCTATCTCCGAATGTGATTTTAGGATTAAGCGCCGGTCAGAAAGTGGGACAGGGCCATAAATAATTCAGGTGAATTTTTCACGTCGCGAATTAAAACTTTGCGATGTGATTTAATGTTCTATCGATCAGCGATTGCAAATCTATTTTGCCACTAGTCGACTATCTATAAATGATGAGAAATATCTAGGTATAGAAAAACTTTATATACGGGTTTATGGATAATACTAGATTACAACTTTAAGTATGCTTTATATTTAATTTTTGATCGATTTTCGAGAAACACGTGATATTTGAGGCTAAACGGTAATTAAAAGAAAATTTATAGCTGTGTGCTTTCAATTTTATGTTTATAAATTTTCTATACGATGTGCACGCACATTTGTATAATTTAGACATTTTTTTGATAACGAAAATTATCTAATGTAAAAGATTGTGATGTATTAAGTATTATTAATCATTTAGTAATGTTATTTTATTGACAGTGTATACTCTCTTTGTTATAGGATTATCTATTTAAACGCATAAAGGCAAAACAACATAAAAACGTGATAATAATTTTTCAGAAATTATTTGTTGTTAATAAGGGCTATAGGACTGATATTCCCGTTCAGTCGTGTTTTATTATTTGATAGGACACCGAGAGAATGGCAGAGACATTTCTTAAGATTAAGTCTATATCAATCCTATTTCCATTCCTTTCTCCATTTCGTGAGGAAAGATATATTTTGCTTTCTAAGCACGATTCCGTGCAGAGAGAGAGAGAGAGAGAGAAAACAATTTTCAAACTGCAACGTCATCAACGCATGCAAGAAATAAATTGACTTAGCGCTGATTATATTCGAGTCTGTCGATAGTAGGATAATGGAAGAGTTTGCTTTAAAAAAAAAGTAATTTTATTGTTAATCTTTGGAGAATGACTGTTGTCTGATTGATATACAACGGCTCACAATACGTACGTTAATTATTACATTTTGTAGGAATTGATTGAAAATTTCATTAACACGGACGCTGTTATCTACTTATACAGAATGACAAATCTATCATCGTACATAATTAACTCAATTAGCATAACTGATTGCGTATCGTCAACGTTTGTTAAAGTGCTCGATCGAACAATACCGCGGCGCGATATATAATGCAATTTTCAGTGTAAACCCTATACTGGCGCGATTGCTTTAACATCAGCAGTAGATGCGAGATGCGACGGGAATGTATCGTATTTCTGTACTCGTTGCATTATCTCGCGAGGATTATGCCCTCTCTAGAGTAACGAATACTGATGAGAGTTACGTGCTTGTAGACAGTGAAAGCGGCGAAAGAAGGTGATCATAGCACATCAAGTTGCATCACGATTGCGGTGCAAGTTGATTTTAACAATCCATTTTTCTCGAGTCTCGCTCGTTCGTTTTCCCATGAAATAATGGGATTAAGGATCGATAGATAGATAAATAGAGAGAGAGAGAGAGAGAGGGAGGGAGAGAGAAGCTCGCAAACGACGGTCGCGATCGGAAAACGCTTTACTCGCACCCAGAGCTGTTGCAGAGTGTTTCGAGAGATCCGGACGTCGAAATACGGTTTGTCTTTTGGTAATTTCCACTCGAAGCCCTTGCGGTCATCGGGTACTCCGGCCGCCATCTTTCCGTCGATTTCGAGACGCTCCGAATCCTATTCCGGTCGAGCGATCAAAGCGAAAAGGCAGAGTCGGCGGGCCTCTATTATCGTCCAAGAAAGGGAAGGAGACAACTAACGTTCCCCGTTGCACCCCTTGTGGCCGATCCTCTTTGTCCACCCCGTCGAGAAACCAATTACAAAGAAGGAATAGCGCGCGCGGTATCGCGCGCCGCGCCGCGCGCGAGTTAAATTAATTCAATGTACGTGTTATAGTATTGGGCTAAATGCTTTCGATAAACTTTGCCGAGCGCGACCCCGGAAAGGGCGCGCGCGTTTGCGGTACAACTTATTCCGAGGTAAACTTTATTCACGCCGTCAAGCCAGCCGGGAAGTAGAACTCGGGCGGCCGCAATTCCGTAATTAGTATAATAAATAATCTAGTGCGAGGGACCGAGAGAAGGAGAGAAGGAGAAAGAGAGAGAGAGAGAGAGAGAAAGAGAGAAAGAGAAAGCGCGCGCGCGAGAAACGTTAAGAACGTTTACATAACGTAGGTGCATCCTGCATGTAACGTAGCACTCCTTGAAATGGGATAAAAATGCATGAAACGTGCGCCGCATAGGATGCGCTTCTCGCGAAACGCGCGGTAACATAATGCTTATACCCGCACGGTACTCTACGTTACCTTAAATGGATTCATAATGTTGCCGGTGGGCGATCGTCGGCGGTTATACTGCGCGGCGATTAAGTTAGCGACGCTTTATCCCGCGCTCGCTAATCAGATGGAGATTTACGCGGATCTTAAAATGCGGCGTCGCGGCGATATGAATCTGCAGGAGCAACTTCCTGAACAATCTGTGCCACTGGTAGTCACATTCAAATGGAACAAAAAGCTTAACTCTTAATTTTTTTTTTGAGTCCCTCTATGTAAATTTTATCGCTTAGGCCGTTCACGGCGCTTTCATCGCGCGGCGTGTAACGCCGGAATCGGCGCTCAAGCAACGCGCGCCCGGGCACTTCTAACGCCGGAATTGCATGGGCGAGCAAATGGAAATGCATCTTGGCGAAACAGCCGGGCGTAACGTGCAAACGGCGGAACGTCACGATTAGACGTTTCGCATATATGGGCGTACGATGCCCGCGAGACGTTTGTAGTTGCTTCGAGGTGGTGTTCGACGGCGCGGCGGGCCGCGAACTCTCACTGTTTATTTTCGCCATTAAGCCGAGGGGGGAAATATGGGTTAACTGCTACCAAGGGCCCGCAGATCGGTGATTAAGTGCAATAAATAATTCCGCGGCACGGAGGCGCCGCACTAAGCTGCGCGCTGATAACACCATTGTGCGCTCGATCCCGTCGCTTTTTGAGAGCGTAACGGGAGCGTAATTTCGCGAAAGAGCAGGAGATAACATGCAAATGCTGCGACATCTCGTTTCGCAGAATGCTCTCGATACTGCAGCAAATTTATTGTCCGTAAAAAAGGCGCGCGCGCACGCGCGCGTATAAATATACGTGCAAGAGATATCGCGCCTAAGTGCAGGCAGATAACTAGATTGATTCATATACCGGCAAAATTAACCTGACACAAAAACGGAGCTGTCTCTTCCATTTTCTTTCCTTCTCCCCTTTTCGGAGAGAGGAAGAACTTTTACGGTACTAATTCCCCTAAAAAAAGTGCTTTCTTTAATTAACGTCAAAAAGAACGGATGGGATGTCTTCTTGATGACTTATTTTTCTACATATACCTAAACAATTTTATATTGGAATGAGAAATGATTCGCAAGATGATTCACGATGAATCGTTCGCAAAATACATATGTATAGTACTCTGATGCAGATATTTTTTACTCGTATAATACTCTCTAAATCTGAATCAGTACATAGCCACTGATTATCAATTGTTATCCACTGAATGCACCAGTCCCAAGTATTTCACTGGTAATCAGTGAAATAATAGATTAATATTAATAGTTTAATTATGAATTATTAGTGAAATTATAGTTAGATTATAGGTACTGACTCAATCAGTGATTTTTCAGTACATTTCCACTGATTTAGATTTAGAGAGTACATAATAATCTTTCATGGTTTTTTTTTTATATTTATTTTATTCAACAGAATTCATTTGTTTTATATCGCACGTTCTATTTGATCGCTCAATCCATGCATTAATATGTATTAGTTCATTACTTATTTACTTTTTAACAGTGTAACCGTTAATTTTACAACACTGGGGATTACTAATTGCTGATGGATTTCAAAACATCTGTTATGTACAAAAATATTTACTGTATTTTTGTATACTGTTTTTATTTTTCTTATCATATAGTATACACGTTAAATAGCGTTGCAAGCTCTTTTCCTAAACCTTTATTTTGGCTACAAATTAATTTGGGTAAACGACAGTTGCAAGAGATATCAAAATACGAGGAAAATGTCACACGCAGTGCTGCTACGCACTTCCATAAAATCAATTATCCAAATTCGCGAATTTTATCCTGCGGGACATATATAATTAAACACAATTATACATGCAATTTAAAAGATAATTTGAAATTTATTCAATAATTACGTTAAAATTCAACAAATTGCAATTATTTATGAATTTATGATCATTAAATTATATTTTTATTCCATGACAAAGGAGCGAAAAAAGACGGATAATGAAAGATAACTTAATTGTTAATAAGAGACGAAAAAACTAATTTAGTGCATGTATAGATGTGCCGCGTTGAAGCTCACTCGTGAACTCGGAACGTAACAATTTTTGCAGGGAAAAAAAACCGTCTCTTTGTTCGCGTATTACAATCTATGTCGCGCTGCTTACGATAGCCCGCAACGCTCTATTGCGAATTGCGATTGGAACGCGATCGCCGCGGCATTAATTACAATATTCCCAATAAGCGTTTGCAAATACCTGCGCACGCTCCGCCTAACGAAGCCGACACAAAAGAAAACAAGTATTTCTCCCGCGATGTCCGCGTTGATTGCAAAATAACGGGCTTTATTGGCTATTACTCCGATCGCGCGGGCAAGGGCGTCGCGCCTCGATCAGCGCTGCCCTACAGCGACCGCGCCGGGTTGCGCGGACCGGACATAAAATACAAATGAAACTCGCGCGCGAACAGCCGCGATTGCCGATATAACGTTAACACATAAACAAGG